TGCGATATTTGTTCTTAATAAACTTCATATTGAAAAAAGAAGATTTACACAAATAGGTTGAACTGAATAATGCTTTCACTTTCAAGGCAACACATCATAGAACTGAATATTTGTCTTTACTTACAATAGGCCAGATACATTCAGTACTTGAGACTAACGATTTTAAGGCTAAATCATTTTGAAACTCAATGACTCCATTTCTGTTGCAGCGATGTCTTCGCCAAAGTTCTGCATAACACAGGCTGCAAACTGCTAGATATCAATTTCCATAAAGGGTGAAACAACAAACTGCGCTACTAAAGCCATTTCATTGAAATCCTTAAAACGATTTTTAAAGTTAATTTTCAGGGTAGAAATTATTTCTATATGATATTTGTTGTCATAGGGTTCTAATGGATTTTGAGATATTTTTTCTGAAAGAATACGAAATTGCTTGGAATCGCTGTTAATTAGGTATTGTTCCCAAAACTCCAGCTTTTTGATAAATGCTTTTATATCAGAAATCATTTCCGCTAGTTCTTTGTCTCTTCCCTGAAGCTGCAAATTAAGTTCGTTTAATTTCTCTGCAATGCCCGCGAGAAAACCAAAATCTTTAAGCCAGATTGAATTTTCTAGTTCCGGAGTCGGTTCATCGCGTTGTTTGAAAAATTGAACTATGCCAGCTAGTACATCATTAAAACGTTTCAGCACTCGTTCTCTACTTAACCATCGGACTTCAGAGTGAAGGAATAGGTCCCCTTATTAACAGTCAACTTCATCGGCCAAGGTTCTGAATAATCTTCTTTGTAACGCTTGAGATCTAATCTTGTTCACAATTTTTACCACCAGTTTTATAACGTTGTTTAGTTTCAGGAAATTTCCACATAATGCTTGCTGATGGATAATGCAGTGGTAACAGAGAAATTACGGAAAAGTTTCATCTTTACGACATAATGCCACCAGACCCTTATTACAACTCACCATAGCTGAAGCGCCATCGGTTGTCAAGCCTACGATTTTCGACATTTCGACAAAATTTTCTCGGAAGAAATAATATTTTTTAAATGAGAAAACAACTCCTGTCCAGCAGTGTGTCTTTCCTGACAAACCATCCTGACGAACACGGCCATCTGGGTAGTGTCAACGACATCTGTTGATTCATCCAGTTGAAGTGAAAAATAAACACAGTTATCTAAGTCAGTTCTTAACTGTAAAAAAATATCATTGCTCATTACTTCTACACGTCTCATCACTGTATTAGCAGAAAGTTGCATAGATTTTATACTGAAACTATCTCGTTCTTATTTCTAAAGTTGGCAAATAACGAATCAGCAGCTTCTAAAAACGCCTATTTTATTATTTCCCCGTCTTCATAAGGTTTCTTTTTTTGTGCAATTATCTGGGACACACAGTACGATGCTTCAGTTGCAGCCTTATTTTTGTTGACTGTTCTTAAAAATATTGATTGTTGACCAATTAACTATTTTTTTAACTGTTTCAGTTTCTCTTTTCTGGCGGCAGAATATAGTGGGAATGATTTTTCAAAATTAGAATGTACAGTTTTATGATGTCTTTCAATATTTCCTTTTTTAGCAACGGAGACCGAAGTATTACATAACAAACACATATTTTTATCTTTAACTTCTGTAAAAAAGTATTGTTCTTCCCATTCCGAATGGAAGTGGTATATCTTTACCTTCTTACAACTGCTTGCCATAATATTATTTTTGTTATTCTCTACTAACCCAACCGCTGGACGTTGGTTACGCGTTCAGTTTTAAACTAAGCGCAATGTCACTGCGCCGTGCGTATTTATCCCGTTCAAACCAATCCAGATTGTTCTCGAACACTAACTCGCTGGTCAGGCTGGTCGGTTCTATAAATAGCCGATTCTAGCTTGGCGGCGTCAGGGGCAGATCGCTCACCGCAACTTTGCCGCTGTTTATGTTTAATATTATGACAATTAAATTTTTTTGTGGAATTTTCGGAAGCTTCTCTGATTTTTTCAGTTTGTATTTTTTAAATTAAAATCGTTGTGAGAGCTACCAGAATTGCTTTAGCGAGCTACCGGTAGCTCGCGATCGACAGGTTGGCGGCCACAGTATTAGAGTGTTCCAAAACTATATTTTTAATAAATATTTATTTAACACAAAAATAGTAACTAACTATATGATTTTAATACAGAATGAAATGTATAATAAAAATGCAATGTATAATGTTCGTTGTCGTATGTTGTCTTAATCAGCGTTCTTCAGTTCACTGGACCTGGGTCATTACCTTATTAAAGCTTAGTTCGTAATTTATTGGTCGATAACTTATATGTATATATATATATATATATATATAATATATATATATATATATAATATATATATATATATATATATATATATATATATTATATATATAGTCCGTCTAGAAAGTATCCGGAAAAAAGAAAGCAGACTTATAATTGTACGGCATTTATTTCTATCACTTTAAATATAAAATTTCAACAAATAATTCATCTCATTTACTTATACAACCTCCATTTAAAACTAAACACTTAACTAAACATCCGGATACACCCGAAACTAGATCAAGGCCATAATTTTCGGTAATGGTGTTCCAGGTCAGTAAAACTGATTGAACTGACCGAATCAAACCTTCTTAATCTCGTGGCGCCAGTCGTTCTACTTCAATCTTCATCAGTCTCCATACGTTTTCAATGGGGCTAAGATCTAGAGATGTTGCTGGCCACGGAATTGTTTCCAATTCGTATTTTTGCATCCAAGCTTGAGTATAAGCAGAAGTATGGCATCTTGCATTATCTTGCTGAAAACGCCACCCCTCTGGATATAAAACATGAGCCATTTCAAAAAGAGAACCATTTAGTATGTCACAATATCTCGCACTATCAACAGTACCATTAACTATACAGAAAGGTGTAGCACCACGCTGAGATATTGCTCCGCAAACCATTATTTTAGTGGGAAATTTGAAACATTTTCTCTTGATAGGACTTTTAGATGATTTGGACCAAGCTGGAAACAATTTCATCAGATATAAAGACATTATTAAAATTATCTTCTAGAAAACGTTGACAAAAATCTATTCTTCGTTGCTTTTGCAGAAGTGTAATTGTAGGGATTTTTTTGGATTCCTGGATATGTAGCCTTGCTTTTTCAGTGACATGCGGACAGTTTCTGGGCACATTTTTATTCTTCGTTGATTTCCAAATCTGTTCGCTATTTTTCGAAACCATAGGCGCGGATTTTGTCGTCCTAAAGCCACTAAAGCATTTAAATTGTTTCCGCGAATCTTATGCGGTCCACCCGAAACTGGTCTATATCTCATATCTATGCCAGTTTTTATCCTCTTTATTGTCTCATACACTGCACTTTTTCCGAGTTCAGTCAATTGCACTAATTTTTTAACCTTTCGGACACCCTTTCTATACAAATATTCCACCAATTTTCTTTTTTCTACTTGCGACATTATGTCACAAATCTTAAGTTTGTTTACAAACAACAATATTTGACAGATGGTATTGTCATGCGATTTTGTCCATAACCTACTATCGACACAACCTACTTGATGCATTACTTTTGTCTTAAAATGTTACAAAAAAGAAATAAATATATTAAAATTAGGAAAAATATAATATTCCGGATACTTTCTAGACGGACTATATATATATATATATATATATATATATATATATATATATATTATATATATATATATATATATATATATATATATATGTATATATATATATATATATATATATATATATATATATATATTACTTATATATATTACTATATATTACTTAAAATGACAGGTACAACCCCCAATTTTGAAAATTGGAAGTATAGGCTTGTGATATATCGTTTTAAGGGTCTTTTCATTCTCCATTCAAAAATGTTGTCGCTTTCAAGTTTATTAAGATTAATTATGATAAAATAAATTAAAATCATGTGGTGACCGAAATTCGCTACAATACAATCAAAAACTAAAATGTAATGCAAAACGTAATAAAATGTAGAACACGAAAAAGAACTATGAATGTTAATGAAGTAGATGTTCAAATGTTCACCACGAACGTCTTGGCAACATTCTAATTTTAAATCAAACTTCATATACCCGTACAGATATATATATATATATAATATAATATATATATATATATATATATATATATAGATATATATATATATATATATATATAGATATATATATATATATATATATATATAGATATATATATATTATATATATATATATATATATAATATATACTATATATATATATATATATATATATAACCGCTTCATATATAACCGTACAGATATATATATATATATATATATATATATAATATATATATATATATATATATATAATGATTTTAAATCATTATCAATTTAAACAAAGTTACTGATTTTATAAAATTTAATAGAATTAGCAAAACAAACAAACAACAAATAAATTTAATTAGTTTTATATTTAATATATCTCAATGATTTTAATTACAGACGCCAAATTGTAAATTATATGTTTGAATTTTATCTCAGGATTTTTATGTACGTTCAGAAAATATCTTTGTCTTCTTCCAGTGTTCAATAAATAAAACTGGAGAAGAAAAAAAAAAATAAAATAAATGGCAAAGTATTCAATACAATTAAATATAATGAAAAATCCATTGAAAAAATTATTTACATTTATAAACCACTCAATCATAATAACTTATCGAAGTCTAAAATCCATCACTTTTTACACACAAAATTTTAACCTTAGAGTTCATTTTTTAATTTTATATACATATAAAAATAACAATTTTTTTTATTTCTCCTTTAATCTGTTTTTTTTTAATTTGTGAAAATTTGGGGAACATAATAACATAATATGTATAGGTATATCATATAATAATAACGCGTATCTATAGTATAGTACCGTTATCTTTCGTAAAGAGACCTGATCATTTATCGAAGAAAAAAAAAAACAAATATACTATATTAATTTTTTTGTTTTATAGGAGAGGTTGGAGGAATATAAACGTTTTCATACACTTGGACATTTATTAAATATAGAAAGTCATATAATATCTCCAACTGAGGCAAACAAACTGGCATCAATTCTGGACCCAAAAGCGTTCTACGGAGCACTCTGGTCCCCCAGTGATGGACATTGCGATCCTTCGATGTATTGTGCGGCATTAATCAAAGGAGCAAAAAATCGGGGAGCTCAGGTAAAAATTATTTATAGCCCAGTTGTTTTTAATTCGCGAGACGGGTTGCTAGAGATGATATATAAGCTTTTCAAATATTTCTAATGTTTCAGGTTTCAAAGAGGGATCAGATCGAAAATTTAATTAAATAAATTTAAAGATCACGAGAAAATTATAAAATTTATAAAAAAAGGAAAATGCCTATATATTTTTATTAAAAGAATTATGAATTTCAGGTATTTGAAGATACCGCAGTTACAAAAGTATTGACCGTGCCAACACCAAACAATGAAAAAAAAGTAACCGGAGTAGAAACATCAAAAGGTGTAATAAAAACAAATATTATGGTCAATGCAGCTGGGGCTTGGGCTCGACATATAACTCAAATGGTCGATTTGGACCTTCCCTTAACTCCGATGAAGCATGCTTACGTAATTACAGGATCCATTCCCTCAGCCAAAGGTACACCCAGTATTAGAGATCACGATGGTTGTCTTTACTTTAAATCGCAAGGAGATTCGATTGTCTTTGGAGGTTATGAACCAAATCCGGAAATTCTTCAAGAGGTAAGATATACTGATAAAATTGTAAGACAGGTAAAAATTTATTTTTATTTTACATGTTCTTATATTTTTAAATATAGGTATCTCCCCTTCAATTAATACAATATTCTTCCCATTCTTCTTTTATTCTTGCGTATTTTATTATAGATTTAGTATTTTACATAATTTCAACTTTAAAATTTTGCATAATTTAATAATACACTTATTTCGAGCAATTACTATTTTGCATCCTTCGACAGCAAAGGATGAGTAAGTGATATATTGAACAGACGAACTGACAAATAGGGAATAATAAAGTACTTGCTTTGAGTTAAGTGAATAGTAGAACGGATGATACATTAGAGGAATCCACTGAAGACAAGACATTACATGTACCAGTTTCGATCTTCAATGGACAAAGCTTCTGGAGACTTTATCGGTAATTCCATAATAAATTCTTCCATTGAAAGATTAGGCTTATCCCGTTTTCCTTTCAAGTCGATTTATCTGGAAAGTCCTGAATATGTTTTATAAGCTTGCATGGTATAAGGATCATTAATATTAAATTTTAACTTCACACTATTGCTTATGCCAAAATTAGTTTGGACAAACTGCTCTTTTAGATGAGAAAAATTGAAAATGTCTTCCCACTTTAGACTAGTTACAACGAACGGTCTTTTCTTTTTGGGTTCTTTTAGAATATATTCCCAATCACTAAGAGAATAAACTGCAGTATTCGTGTTTGATGTTTTTCCACATGGACAAAATCCCTATTACTAGATAACAGTATTACCTGTGGAAAAACATGAACATTCTTGTTGTATCTTCCAGAAGCTAATAGACGTAACACAATCTCACGACTGTCCAATTTTAATTTTGACCCTAACAGTTATCTTATTTGCAATAAATTGTTTCTCCGCGGGCATCAAATTTTTTAAAATACTTGCATAAGCAACTGGCAACTTCATCCGACCCTCGTTTGGCAATTTCTTCATATCAAAGAAAAAAATAGCCTTCTTCAGATTGATTGCAGCAATGGATAATATAAAAGCAAGGTCCAGTAGTCAATTTTAGGAGCAGGCCAAGTATGGGAGGTCAAAAGTTATAACATGAACATTTTTATTTACTTTGGATTCCTCCGCAGCTTGCTCAAGAATGTTTTTCGCTGCTTCGGCCTTCCTAAAGTGTAGTTATTTGTAACATTCTTGCTTCTAAAGTTTTTCGACGTTTCTTCTCTTTTTCTGAATTTGTTAGAAGTAATAACTAGTAGACTTTCATTTTGGCAGTTTTATTGTACCTTTCATATAGTAATTCAATGTTATATCTACTCCAGACTCATTACATTCTTTATTCAAGTTTTTGTTGTAACTATAATGACTTTCATATCGTTGCATGGAATTTATAAAACGATGAACTGTTTCTATATCATTTTGCGAAAACTTCGTCTTTTGGTTTCCGTGTTTACTCCTTTGATTTTTTTTCGGGAATGGTTTCGTTTCTTAGTTTATTTACAATACACTCGGTCTCTATCAATGCCGCGTACAGAAATAACAGCTTGTTTGCAAATTTTTAATCTCGGGTTATTTGTTTGAATACGGTTTTCAATAGTGGATGCGTTTAATACTATCTTTACGCATTTTGTATAAATACGCTCCTCGCCTTAGATTTTATCCAAGCAGTTTCTTTGCACGTACAAGAAGGGTCAATAACTTATGTAAGTATAAATCACTGGTTCCTCTGTATTTTCTTAAACACACCCCATTATTGTTTAATATTTTTGTTTTGTTTTGTTTATTTATTTTTCTTTTACTTTTCCGTGTTAGTAATATTCTCCTGCAACAAAAAACTAATTATTGCCAATTAAAACGTGTTAAGTTACACACATATCATGAGTAGTTGCCACTGCAAGTAAAACCTAGCCCATATCTAACATAACTTAACAGTTTTTACTTGCATGAAAATTTATAACCTTAAAACTTACTTGTTCAATTTTGGAACTGTCTGACGATATTTCTCCTTTACTGAAATCTGGACCTTAAAATGGTTTCTGGAAATGGGTGAGGAAACATTAAGTATATTCTGCCATTTTTAATGATTTAATCGACACAAGATCAACAACGTGTTAAGTACACTGACAGCAGTTGACAAGTTTGACATACATTGAATAATATTTATGTCACATAACAGCTTGTCTGAAAATTTTGTGCTGAAAAATTGTGCTGAAAATTTTAGATTTTGTCACTTAACATGTTTTAAGACCGGGCCCTATTTATCAGGTAGATTCGATTTTATTAATGTTATGCTACCTACTTGTTTGGTAGGAATATTAAAAATACTGTGTGTTACGATGGAACGATATCATTTAACTTTGAACGGAATAAATAAAGGTGTAGGCTTTCTTCAAACTAACATGCGGCAAATTGACGTAGTCAGTGTTATAAGTTGACTATGACGTTTTTGGAAAACTTGGAGTCTAGCTGAGCAACATACAGACAAAAAGAAGTATTAAACCTATAACTTAAGATTGATGCTTCGTTTTAGCTGCTACAATACAACTGTATTATTTACCGGCTTACAGTGGGCCCAACAAGTAACTAAAAGTCGAGATACTGTAAGAAACTATCTAATGAAATGAAGTCAACATTTATAGTCAAAGACCACTCAGGTGTCATCTCTTTCCAGAGTTAATCACGCTGCAAGATTAACGTGGTTGCGAGAATATTAGGACTGGTAAAAGTGACTAAGCTAAAGTTTTATTTACCGCTAAATCCAAATTAAATGGGGATGGGGATGGATAACTAAGGAGACAAAACCGACATTGTTTTTACCAATCGGTTCCTGAGACCTCAGCAGTACCGCCATACTATTCTTCTACTTGTTGTAACAAGTACGGTAGTGATCAAGTTAAACCATTTTCGTAGGTTGTCAAAGTAATTATCAATATGCGTCTATAGCACCATATATCTAATGCTTTGAGTCTATTCAGTAAAGTTAGAGGATTTTTGATATAAAAAATTGCTGTTTAGTTTGTGAATGTCGATGTAGCCTTATGATTTCAATCCCTTATTTAATAATATTTTATAGCACATTATGTAAATCATAATGCTATGTGCTCGCTACTAAACTTCTCAAATTTTGTTGTCTATAAGTTTTTTTGAGGTTTTATAATAAAACTTTATAATACTATTATTTTAGCTACCAGACGATAAATTTCATCTTTACGAGTTGGACATGAGCCTTTTTGATCAACACTGGAAACATGCTTGTGAACTTTGCCCAGAATTTGAGAAAGCTGGTATAAAATCCGACATTTGTGGTCCAGAATCATTTACACCCGATCACAAACCAATATTGGGAGAAGATCCAAAATGTGTAGGTACGTAAAAAAATACTATTTTTTTTACTACTAATTTTACTACTTTATCTTGTGTATGTTAATAAATTCTTCTTAATATGGTTATTTAATAGATAATAAATATAAAGAACTTTAACTTTTTTAAGCACACGAAACTTTTTAATGTTTTTGTACGAGCTAATTTGTAATCCGCAGTATGAATAGGAAACTACGTACTCCAATTTTCTTAAATACTTTTTTAATAGTGAATAAGTTTAATAGTAAATACGTTTTTAATACACTAAAATGTGTAAAAAATAATATAGAATGTCACTTTGAAAAACGGCCTCGAAAGAAGGACTCCCATGGTACATGAGACCCTATATGGGAGCCGAGACCAGACTGGCCGAGAGTTCGATCATTGTCTCGTTGTTGTTTGCTATTTGTTGATTCTCTTCGTTGATGATTTTGTTGTCCTGTTATAGATGGACCACTTCTTCAGGACTCCTTCATACACTTCAAAATCCCTCCCTGTCATAGCACGCTCGAAGTGAGCAATTTAAATAATTTCTGCGATAAAGAGTGGAGTTGCCTCCTAAATATCAATGTATTCATCAGGGAGTTCGTTGCTGGCAAGGGTCAATCATTTATTGGGTTGGAATGGGAGTTTGCGTTTAGGGTGTCTGTTGAATACATTGCTAAAGCATGAGCAGGTAGTTTGGATGATATTTTGGGCTCTGAAGCTTTGGCCACGGATGGTTTTGATTATATAACTCCTGTTCAAAGAGGAGAGCCTGTCATTGATGGGCTGGATATTCGACAGTTGATGAATGAAGGCAGAGGGGTAGCTGTGCCGTTTGTTGTTTACTCTACGCAGGATTTCCCCGTTCCAATCCCAGCAGATGTTATGTGTGGCGGCGATTGAACATAATATAAAGATTAGACCTATATTCAATCACGGCCTGAAAATCTTTTGTATGTATGCTAATCTGCTCCTAACCTTGTTACAGGCTGCAGCCAGATCGGCCCTTCAGTTTAGTGTTTCTGTGAACACTACACCGAGGTACTTAATCTGGTTACGGAGTTGTAGTCGGTCGCCCAGAGTCTGAGGTCGATTCTTCCGGCTATATTGTATGTAGTGAATCTGCTGAGGTTGGGGTGGTTAGAAAATCATTCGAGTTTTATTTGGGTTAGGTGTTACTCTCTATCTCCTGCATCACCTGTCGACCAGGTCAAGGTGATTTTAAACAAACCTAAGTAGTGCATCTGCGTCTCGAGAAGTTGTTACGAGAGCGGTGTCATCTGCGTAGAGGAAAGTGAGGGTGCGAGTGTTTCGTGGGTTACAGTTGTATATGGTATATAGTATAGGTGCCAACACTGAACCTTCTCTTCACTGAAATCCTGCCGAGGGAATAAAAGAGGCTGAGAAACCTTGCATTTTTACCGTGATAATACGTTAAGTGACATATGAATGGATACGTCTAACGAATGGAAATGGTAGGCCGAGGTTAAGTAGTTTCTTGATCAGTCCAGCATGCCAGACTTGGTCAAAGGCTTTTTGAACATCGAGAACAATGCCTAGTGAAAGTTTGCCGTCGTTTAGACTTTAAGTGAGATGTGTGACGATTTCTTTCAATGCCGTTGTGGTGAAGTGATCTTCTCTAAAGCCGAATTGGAATGTTAGGATGATATTATGTTCTGTTGTAAAGTCTACGTCTTTCCTTAAGCATCTTCTCGAAGACATTAACCAAGATGGTTAGTAATGAAATCGTCCTATAAGAGGTCTTGGGTTTGCCCTTTTTTGGAGCATAATTGTGTTAGCTTCTTTCCATGGGGATGAAAAGTAGCAGAGTCTAAGAGTGGCATTGACAAAATTTCTTCAGGTAGAGTGTGACGCTCGGTGGAAGTTGTTTCACGCAGTACCTGGCTATGTTGTCAGGTCCCGGTGCATTTGATCTGCCAATTTGGCAGAAATGTGTGAAAGTTTGTTGATGCACAGGTGCCATGTTCATGCGGTTCCTGTGGATCGAAGGGGGTGGCGAGTCGTCTTGTTACGTCTCTCTCGGTTCTTACACGGAAATCGTGGTCAAATCTGGGGTCATTGGGGGGTGATTAAGGTGTTTTGTAGATGTATTGTGACGGCGTCGGCTCTCTGTTTATCTGAGTTGATGATTTGATTGTTCACCACAAGGTAAGAAGGGTTGTTGGTTTTCTTTTAGTTAAGATTTGGACCAAAACGCACCGCCGTTACCATAATCGAGACTAGAGGTAGCTGCTTGCCATTGATTGGCTTGCAGAATATTAACCTGTAGTTTGATCACCGCAGACAGGTGGTTATGTTCTGTTTTGACTAGGAGTAGTAGTACTTGGAGACAGGATGGATGGATGGAAGTCACGTTGGATGGACGTTTCCAGAGGGACGTGAGTGATGGTGTAGCCAAAGGATTTAGGGTATGCAGTTTAGTTTGCTGAGGTTAAGGGGGTAGAGGAGAAAGGAGGAGGCTGAGGTCTAGGAGAATGTATAGCAGTTACATATGATAACGGTGTATGAATGTGTGTATTTGATATCTGGTTTGTATATATTGTTGGGGTAGGTTGGATGTAGGTGGTTTGTATTGTTGTGGGTTGTAAGGTGAAGGCTTATGTAGTGGTCGAGAGTGTCGTAGGGATAGGGGTGACAGACACACGGAACAGCTGCAAAATAGTGATCAACTGGTCTATCTGGTCGGAAGGTAGGATATTTATTAGGTCTGAGATGAAGGAATCGGTGTATGTATTCATGATGGTGGTTGTAGTATCTTGTGGAATGTGTAGGGTGGGTGTGGGTGTGATGGTACCAGTGTCTGTATTTGCATTGGATGGTACGGTTGGAAAGCCTAAGTTGTCGTTGACTGTTCTGTTGGAGTTTGATGTGTGCGTGTGAGGGGGATTAGGAGGTTCTACCGGAATCGGGTTATTTGACCTTGTAAAGCGGGTGGATCGGGGCATTTCACAATTCGAAAAGTGCTAGAGAAGACATCTGTTTTCCTATAATTGGTGCAATTTATAGGATGACGGGTTGCCGGACTATACGCTACTTTGTCTTTAGCTGTTTGTCCCTCGTATACTCCTCGTCGTAGTATACAGCCTACTTGTAGGGTGTAGTGAGTACTTTTCTTGAAAAAATCAAGCTTAGGACAGGCTGAGTTGGTCCACTCCTGCCCATGAAGGCTTACACTGTTGCCGTTCAACCTCTAGGAGAAGGAAAATACACTAATCTGTCGAAAACTTGACCCTTCTCTATCTCCTGGTGTAATTAGCTTCACGGTTCGCAGTATTCGGTGGCTGCTTACACTCAACCACCTAGCTCTGGGCGCACGCGTCGAACCACACCTTTGGCCGAGAGTTGAAAATGTCGCATATTTATATATTTCTGTATGACATTTTCAGATCATTCGGACAATAGAAAAAATCGGAGATATTTTAAGGCGGGGGGACGCGCATCGGGTGCGTATTACTCCATGACTAAGACGTGACACTATCCTCCTTTGAAGACTTTATGGTTAGAAAGAAATTAGTACAATAAAGGGACAAAGCTTATAAAAGTTTATGAAAAGGTCGAACAAAGTTTGTACCTAATTCACAACACAGCACAGTAACTTACGGTAGTCATCTTCTTTTTCTGTAGGTACTGTCTACTATTACTGCATCCTCGACTTCAATGACTTCGTCCTCCCCTAGTCTAGGCCATCAGGAACCCATAATCATTTGCCAGCCGGTTTATAAGTAGGGAGTTTGCCTGTACCTACTTGGTGTATGTACCACATGCAGTAGGGCAGGGAGTGACTCCACGGCTACTCCGGGGGCTCAGTAGCTTCTGGAACTGGTGCCTTCGGTGACTTCTCGATCGCTGAAACCTCTGGCACTGGACAGTGTCAGGAACTGAAAAATAGGTCAATGATACCATCAGCTGCTGGTGTTTAGAAACGCCGGTTTCATAAAAAAGGAGGAGAACACAGATGCCACTTTAACAGAGGGGCTGCTTTGAATTGACTGGCTGGGGTCAAGAAATGAAAGTTTTTCAACAGCTTTGGTTTTTCATTAATGACCACACCTCTACTGGTAATTACACTCTTCTTAATGGGATCATGGAGCGATAGCCCTTTACATTTTGACCATAACCTACCAAGAATATCTTCTCTGCCTTTTTGTCAAACTTCTGCCTTTTTTCTTTGGGTATATGAACCATTGCCTCACTACCAAAGATTCGAACATGACTCACATCTGGCTTTTTACTATAGAAGAATTTATATGGTGTTCTACCTATAAGACCTCTGACCACAGACCTGTTCCTTAAGTATGCAGCAATATTGATGACTTCAGCCCAAAACTGCTTAGGAAAATCTACATCGAATAGTAAGCACCTCGCCTTCTCCACCAGGGTACGGTCCATTCTTTCCGAAGTACCATTCTGCTCTGGGGTGTAAGGATTTGTTTTTTGATGTGTTATACCATTACTACTTAAAAAGGATTCAAAGTCAGCACTACAAAATTCTCCTCCGTTGTCAGACTTAAAACATTTGATTTTGTGCCCTTTTTGGTTTTTAACTGGCAATTTAAATTCCTTAAACTTATCTAGAGCCTCACTTTTGTATTTAAAAAAATAAACAAAAACCATCTTACTCAAGTCATCTTCAAGAACCAAAAAATATCTAGATTCTCCGATGGAAATCATCTCCATGGAACCACACAAATCACCATGCACAACCTCAAGCAATTCTGCAGCACTATTTCCACTACTCTTGAATGGCAACCGAGTCCGCTTTCCCTCACAGCGCACTTGACACAAATTATGCAAACTTGCCCGCTCTTTATAGTTCAAGCCCTCAACTGCTCCGTCCCTCATTATACCCAAATCTCTAAAGTTGATGTGACCAAAACGTCTATGCCACAAATCACAACAGTCCTGAGCAAACATAGAGAACGCCACTGGCTGAGACTTGACAAAATTAAGTCTATAAACTTGATTAATTAAATCAGCTGTAGCTACACTTGTACCTTTA